GTCCTGTAAGTTTCAGGTATCTGTCTGACCCATTAAAAAATATACAGGACCCATAGAATATTATTAAGCACACATTTCAGATTTAACATTTCTTATAATTGGCATTAAATTATTAACAAATATAAGATTTACAAACAGCAAACAAGTGTCACATGTCACATATAACAACTTCGGTCAAGTCATTGTGAAATATACAGTCAGACACTGGGGCCGGCGGGTTGTAGACTTCTATCAGACCAGTCTGTTGGTGTCCGGATGTTGGTTCGAAGCCGAGGCTCGCCTTCACATCAACGTCTTAGAACTGAGAGCTGTGCCGTTGGTTTTCGAGCGCTTCCAGGAGCATGTTCAGGGCCAGGTGGTTCGTCTTCAGGTGGTTCGTCTTCAGTCTTCAGTTAGACAACCGTACATCCTGAAGCAAGGCGTCACGGTGTCCCTAGCGCTCCTTCGGGAGGCGTGGGAGTTTGTCCTCTGGTGCGACCAGTGCGACTGTCAGGTGATTCCTGTCTATCTCCCGGGGCCGGAGAACGTGCAAGCAAAAACGCTTGTTCCAGTTGTACGTGTCGTTCCAGGTGGATCTGTTTGCGTACAGCGGGACGAATCAGATACCCGTGTTCTGCTCTCGAATACCGGACCAGAGCGCGTTGGCTTTCGACGCCTTCCCGCTGGATTGGACGGGCAAGTTGCTGTGGGCGTTTCCACCACTACCACTCATTCCCCGGGTCGTCTCCCAGCTGTCCACCCAGCCAGCTCGGCTACTTGTGCTTCTGGCACCGCTTTGGCCGTCACAGAGCTGGTTTCCGGTTATTCTCAGGTTTCTGGCTCAGCCTCCTGTTCTATTACCTTTGCGACCGGACATTCTCACTCAGAACAGCGCGCCACACTCCAATCCAAGGATTCAGTGGGTGGCTTGGCCTCTGTCAGGTCTAGCTTCGAGGCACACGGAATTCCTGCAGCAGTTGCAGACACAATTCTGGCTTTGAGGCAGGATTCGACAAACGTTCAGTACGAGGATAGGTGGTCCTGCTATGTGCGCTGGTGTTCAGATAAGGGGATTGCAGATCAAAGTATATATCAAACGAACACAAGGGATCCGTACGGGTACCCATCTGTTCTGCTGTTACGGTGGTGGGAAGGCTGGGGCTCCTGCCAGCAAACAGACACTTTCTTGCTGGCTTGTGTCAGTTATTTGTGCTGCGTATCAGGCTAAGGGCAAGCCTCCCCCCGAGGGGTTGAAGGCTCACTCGGTCAGGGCAGTCGCCACTTCAAAAGCGTTTGCAGCGGCACTGCCCATCGAAGAGATTTGCTCTGCCACTATTTGGAGCCGGCCTAGCACTTTTATATGGCACTATCAGCTGTTCTGTTCTCTCCGGTGGACAGTGTCCTGCCACCCTGACCGAGTGAGTCTTGGTTATTTGGTTTTCTAGAGAAGCTGTGTTCAATTGTTCTTTAATTGACATATCAGCTGTTGATTCTTGCCAACTTTCAATCGCTCGGTTGAGATTTTCGGTTGTGAGTTGTGGTTTCCCCCTTACGGTGCTCTCTATAGAGTTTTCATTCAGTGGGCGGGGTGTGTTTAAACTCTATATCATGTGTTGTCATGCTTAACATGTTAAAGTCGGTCCTCAGTACGATTTCTCCTCCTCCCTAGCCTCCGGTCTTTGGGAGTCTTTGTTAATGCATATATGCACCCCAAGGACGATCTCTATGAAAAGAATTAGATAAACCTGTAGAGGTTTCCAATTCTTTGAAGAGAATCGTCCTTGGGGTAGGGCTCTCCTACAAATCTGTTCACTGATTTGTTCAGCAGAAGGAATGATGATACGGGCTTAGGTGCTTACCTGGTTGGCTGCGCATGCGTGTCAGGGAGGTAACTCCAAGTGGTGGGGTCCGTATAATAAATAAGTAGGCTTTTTTATTTGTTGTACAATTTTTTACAAAACCATTGATACAACTGTCACATGACAATTTCAGGTGCAGAAAATGCATATACTACCCCAAGAACGACTCTCTTCAAAGAATTGGAAACCTCTACAGGTTTATCTAAATTTGGTTACTGTGGTTATTTATTGTCAGTTTTATTCAGCACCAATTTGTTGCGAAATTGTAGCTGGAAAAATGGTCCAGAATTATAGATCTCAATTTGTTCTGATCCGTGAGGACCTGTGTCTGTGGGTTCCACCAAAGTTGTAAACTCCTCAACCCAGCATCACCTTGGGCTTTCTTCCTATACCAAACAAGGTCGGTGGGGTAGCTTAGTGGTTAAAGCTATCGCTCATCACACTTAAGATCTGGGTTCGATTCCCCACATGGGTACATTGTGTGAAGCCCATTTCTGGTGTCCCTCGCCGTGATGTTGCTGGAATATTGCTAAAAGCGGTGAAAAACCAAACTCAGTCAGTCAGTCAGTCAGTCCTATACCAAGCTGGTACAATGTCCTACAACAGAAATAGTTTTCAAAGCTTTCACTCAGTTATTCTATTTAACAGACATTTTTTTGTAAGTAACACAAAGTTCATTTCTCAATTACGGAAATCACTTGCAGTAAGTTAGTGTAGGGCTTCAGAGAATGTGTTATTCATATAGTGTTATTCAGGTTAATCATGTGTTAATCATGTGTTCAGCATTGCTGTGCTACATTTCACCAGCTTGTGGATGTCAATAAGTAGGTCACTTGGGTCGACTACTATTTTTTGGGATTGGAATAGAAATAGACTCAGGGAAATCCCAGGAATTGGAATAGTTTTCTTTACCTTTACACAGGGTGATGGTTAGACTGGTGGTAGAGCTGTTGCCTTGTCAGACTGAATTCCTGGCTTCAATACCCAAGATGTACAAAGGGTGAAGACTATTTTTGTATCTCCCTCTAAAGTTGCCAGAGGCCATTAGAACATTTAGAAGAACATTTAGAACTTGCACTGGTGCAACCTGAAATTTCAAAATGCAAACTCATTTTTATACCAACTTGCACTAGGTGCATATGAATAGTTAGCTATTAAAAGAACACAGACTTCAGCTGGGAAACAGAATGATGAGCAACTGGCCTGGAGCAGTGACTCTAACGACTACACAAACAGTGATTGAATGACAGTTACTGTTCATGTCATGAAATGTTTTGAATACGATAAAATGATCCCAGAATAATTTAGTTTTATGGTGTTCTGAATCATCAATACCAAAACTCAAGGGTTATGTGTAATTATTAAGGCTGTTACGATTCACTCTCAATATTTGGTGAATCGAACCGTAGCCCTTCATGAATTCAATTCGTTATTCGTGGTCACCAGAACCGAATATTTACTTTTTTTTAAGGGAGCATGTTTTACTTGAACCCTTGTGTACTCTTTAAAAGTGAGATATGCAGTAATGGAATATGTACTAGCCTTGCAGTAGCCCAAGTCATGTTTGTTTGCCAAGGCCGCACATGGTAACTGTCAATTATAACTATTACATATACCAAACTTGAGTGTCATGAGATGACTGGTTATTGCTGTGACAAATCAAAACTGTCAACATGGGCGTTCCATATTGTACATCAATCACTTAACTACAATATTGTATTCGTGAATAATTATTCGTAATCGGTACCCAATATTCATGATACGTATCATATTCGCCACATAGTGTATTCATTGCAGCCCTAGATATATTTAGCATCAAGTGCAACCTGTTTTGTCTGGTGCAACACGGTTATTACCTGAGGGTGCACCGGAATCAAGTAGGTTTAATTTCCTTAAATGGAGCTGGAATACCTAAAATATTGCTTGAATATTTGTCTAAGTTGTATAATATGTTAGCGTGGTGGTTAAGCTGTCCTCTTGCCAGAATGCAGGCCTCTTTTGATAACCAAGATGGGTTCAATGTGTGCAGACCATTTCTGCTGTGTCTTACTGCTACCCATGAAGATCCGGGTTAGAATTGATCTTCAGTAACCCATGCTTGTCGTAAGAGGCGACTAACGGGATCAGGTGGTTAGACTCACTAACTTTGTTGGCACATGTCATTGGATCCTGGGGCGTTGGAGTAGCCTAGTGGTTAAAGCGTTCGCTCGTCACGCCGAAGACCCGGGTTCGAATCCCCGGGTTCGAATCCCAACATGGGTACATTGTGTGAAGCTTATTTCTGGTGTCCCCCCGCCGTTATATTGCTGGAATATTGCTAAAAGCGGCGTAAAACCAAACTCACTCACTCACTCATTGGATCCCAATTGTGTACATCCATGCTCATGCAGTTGATCACTGGATTGTCTGGTCTAGACTCGATTATTTACAGATCGCTGCCATTTAATTTTAACTGGAATATTGCTAAGTATGGCGTAAAACTAAACTCACTCACTCACTCTGACTGTTGGAATATTGGTATAAGTGGCTCAAACACACTCACTCCTACACTGAACTCCGGTTAGGATTTGGAATTTTGGGTTAGACTTAATCTCTAGCTGGTGACCAAATGGACGGGGGATCAGGATTGGTGACTTGGTTGATGGCATGGATCTTTGCTCACCATATCGATCACTGGATTATCTGGTTCATATCTTTACAGGCTGTCATCATAGAGCTGGAATATTGCTGAGAGTGGTGTTAAACGAGATACAAACTATTACAAGCTGATGAATATTGCTAGTAAATCAATAATTCACTGCCAGTTCACAAACAATTAGTTACACTAATGATCTAGACATGATTATTTACAGGGTATGTCTTGATTATTTGCCGGCTTCACAAAGGCAAACTTCCATGTTTCATGATTAACTGGGCAGTGGGGTAGCCTAGTGGTTAAAGTGTTTGCTCATCACGCTGAAGGCCCGGGTTCGATTCCCCACATGGGTACAATGTGTGAAGCCATTTCCGGTGGCCCCCGCCGTGATATTGCTAGAATATTGCTAAAAGCAGTATAAAAGTAAATTGACTCACTCATGATTAACTACACTCATTTAACTACAGTCAAATGAGAAACAAACTCCGCAATGAACTATGCTATAACATCACATTTCTCTCCCACAGACAAAACTTTGCTCAAGCTGACGATGGAGAAGTCAGTCCTGGAGAACAGGACAGCAATTTTGAAAATGGGGCTTTTGACGACGATGATTACAGCACCCAAGGGGGCTTCCAATACAGCGTCACCCCTCCAGCACAACCGAGGATGAGGAAGCGAGCCAGCCGGAAGCTGTCAGGGAAGGGGAAGCAAGGCACAGACTCCTACAAGGAGTGGAAGGAGTATCTGGGCATGAAGAAGACCCAGCCCCAACCTCGGACACCGGTCACCATAATCAAGGAACAGTATGGGGATGATCCAGGCCTATGCAAACTCAGTGGTACAGATTCAGATGATAATCTGGACAGAGATAACCAACGAGAAAAGAAGGATAAGAGACGGAAAGAAAATCGGGATTCTAAGCGGTTGATGACCAAATCCCGTGGACACGAACGCTTCGTTAAAAGGCTTTCTGATGATTTTACTGAAAGCTCTGAAAATCAGCTCAATAAAAAGATTGTTTTACCTGTAAATATGCATGCAAATATCGATTTGAATAAATCTAATACCTTCTCCAGCCTCCAGATGTCAGTGAATCCGATTTCCATTATGCCAACTAATCGAATCCAGAGAGAAGCTGCAGTGCCAATTGAATGTCCGAAAGAGAGGTTCGACTTTTACAATATCTTCTCTACCTTGATTAATATGGGTTCGCAAAACAAGAAGGACAAAGACCGACAGTTAGCTAGCTGCTATAAGCGTCAGCTGAGCTCCGAACAAGAAATGTGGCAGAACAAGGTGAATGATGTTATTTGGATAGAACTGCATGCATGGTTTAGATTTTGTTCATTGGAGGAGGCTAAAGAACATCTGAATTTCGAAAGGGAAAAAGTGATGGGAGTTCTGGAGGAAATTATCAACTTCAAGATGGTGTGTCAGGATATGTCAGATGTTGATGATGACACTTTTCACGAACATGGAGATTCCAAGACATCTCCTGTGGACAAAATGTGTGGTCGTGTGTCGCCAGGTGTATCAGCTTCGTTTCAGTCGCTCAATCTCACGTCAGACATGGTGGATTGTCAGAGAGAGGCTCTCAGCTGTGTCAAGAAACTCTTAGATGACTTAGACACTTGTGAAAGTCTTTATCCAACCACAAAAGCGTTTGCCAAGGAAAATGAGTTGTATGCTAGTGAGCAGTTTAATCAGAGGGTGAAATCTCTATGTTTGTGGTTGAACATTACTCGGGATCTGTGCCACAAGATGAAGCTGTTAGGACGCGTGCTTGGTGTTCAGAACATTCACGGTCTAGACTGGCCGATGATTGACTATGAGAGTCCACGTGTGTCGGAGTCGGCGTGTGTGTCACAGAGACCCAGCATTCCTAACATACTGGAGACAGGTAAGCACTGGACCTTTGTCTTCAGGTGTATAGCTTGTAAATAGACCAGTGAATATCTTGAAGGATGTAGTATGGTCTGTTCATTAAGGCTGTGTATTGGCAAATAAACTGTATTGCAATATATTGCGATTCAGGTACCCGTATTGTGATACCTATTGCGATATATTGGGAACTTAAGTGTTTGACAGTGAGTGACACTAATTGAGCATGTCAATCCTACTTTCTACATTATAAGTCCCTAAAAATATATGTTATGGTTCTGATAACAGCAATCTCAAAATTGGGTTGCAAAGTCATGGATTCTATTTTGCAGTTTTGTCATTGAATAACAAATGAAAACATTTGTTGTGAATAAAAGTACGTGTAGATTTTAATTTAAACCATAAAGATAATCACAAAAACTTCTCAGAAAAAATATTGCAATACATATCGTTTAAAAGGCGTATTGATACCAGTATACCGGTAATACCATGCAGTCATACTGTTGATCAAATGCATGATTTATTGATGATTTTGTTTTGATCAGTTTCCATATAAAATTTGACTTGGTTGACTCGGTCATGTATGGGAAGTTCATGGTTTCATCAGGAGAAATATGAGTTGCCATGGTTATAGTCAGAAATGAAAACATGGAACATCAAAATATTTGTGGTTCTAGGCTAGGGGTATCTTAAGTTGAGTGTTGTATTAATGTACATGTGTCTGAATATCTGCCTCTGAGCTGGTCCTGATGTTAGCCTATGATTACAGTATGAAGCGTCTATGTACATAATTATCATTGGTGTCGGGTTTGTTATGATAATAATCATGAGAACGTATGCTATAAGTTGTATGCTTCTCTCGAGGGTAATACGGTCTGATGTACGCCTCTTTGTAGCAGTATCACCCGAGCCGGTAGGCGGGGAATGACACTGCTACAAAAAGGCGACATCAGACCGTATTACCCGAGGGAGAAGCGTACAACGTATTTATCTTACCGCCAAGTTAAATGTACAAAATACCATTTTATTTTATGTTAAAGATCGCTACCGACTATATGACATGCAAACAAAATGGCGTCTCTGTCTCGACTGGATTTTTAACATCAGTGAATCATATTCTGACAAGCATAAAACTGCTATAAAAATTGTTAATTATGTTTAAGCTGAGTGTGCAAACCACTCAATGTATAAAATAGCTTAAATAAAGTAGTGAAAGTCGGTAAAATAAATCTGTACAAAGTGAACACAAAAACAGCTGATCGAACGGTTTTCGAACTCCGGTCACGGCATACGTCATATTATGACATCATAAGATTGTTAGCGCTTCAGCTTCTTGGCGGAGAGCTTGGCGGTTACCGTGACAACGGGTAATATTTTTTCCAGTTGTCACCCTGGAGGGTGACACGGAAACTTGTTAAACCGTCATTGACCAATGAAATTAAAGTATTTTACATGAAGGTAAGATATGGGTAATGTACATGATTTACAGTGCTCTGTGATGAAGACGATTTGTTTCCAGTTCCGTCGGACTCCGATGCTGATGATGAGGCAGAGGATGCTGCTGGAGGAGACAAGCAGTTTCTCAGCCCCACAGACGATTGCAAGAAGGTCAAGTTTGTCGGGGTCAGTAGGAAGCCCAGCTCAGTTTGTGCCATAATCTTTTGAGTTTGTTATTTGGTGTTATTTACATGATTTATATTTGGGACTTATTTATGAATTGTGAACATTATTCACAACTCGTTTTGCAAGAACAAATTGTCATCATTTATGAGGGACGGTGGGGTAGCCTAGTGGTTAAGGCGTTCGCTTGTCATGCTGAAGACCCGGGTTTGATTTCCCACATGGGCACAATATGTGAAGCCCATTTCTGGTGTCTCTGGCAGTGATATTGCTGGAATATTGCTTAGAGCAACGTTAACCCCATTAAAGGTAAATGTAATTAACTCATTCACTCACTCACTCACTCATCATTCATGAAATTTGTAATATGATATCTTTCATGATCTATTTATCTGTTAACCCCATTAAAGGTGTATTTAGATGTTTATGTAATTTTGTACCAGAGCCTATTGCATGTGAAATTGCTCATGAATATCTTATTATACTTTCTTGCATAAGCTTGCACTTGCTTGCATAGGTTATTCCATATAATCGTAGTCTCTACCAGTAGAGACTACGATTGCAATCTCTACTAGTAGGATCGGAGATTCTACCAGTAGAGACTCCGATCGCAATCTCTACTGGTAGAGACTCCGATCACAATCTCTACTGGTAGAATCGGAGATTCTACCAGATCGCAGTCTCTACCCTGACATATATATATGAATATTTATGGATTCCTAAATATTGTCATTGTTTATGACGTTGTATCTATGCATATATTTTAGATAATGAATACTTCCTGCTGTTAAAGGTCACATGCAACATAAAACACAACTTTGCAGATTCTGATACCTTTCGGTATGGACTTACCGAAACAAATCGTCAAAAATGCAAATTCAACTTATAAAGTTGAAAAATAACGCGAGAAATCGGAGTTCAAACGTTAAACTAATTTTCCCCAGACTTTTCGGGGGAAAACGGGTTTCAACAGCTGGGCTGCGCTTATAGCACGTGCGCAGTGAAGTAGGTTTGCGCAGCTTGGAAGTGGTTGTCAGGTGAATACTTGGTGAAGGCTTTGGTGTGAGCTATTTTTCTAATGTTTTGTTGATATGTAACAGGCGCGAGCTTTTGATATGTTATGACAGTAAATTAACTGTTTATATAATTTCATTTGTCTATTTCACCACACGTTCTTCTTACCGAGTCACTTTCTCAGTTCGATACTTAAAAGCAATGTCATTATTTAGCGTTGACAGAATTTCCAACTGTGATATAGATATGTCGTTGTCACAGACAAAACTCAATGTCTTGTTTTATTGACACCTGTGTGTCTGCCTGCCTGTCTGCTAATGACAATATTCAATACACAGCTGCTTTCACTGACCACATGCAATTTGAACTTAACACCAATCAGGCTATACACCATAAACAAAATGCATTGATTTATGGCCCGAGTTCGGTCTCTGTCACATTATGTAATTACACAGACAGGCAGGTGTGATACTTGAACACTTGACATGTTATGATGTCTGTTGATTGCAAAATGTTATACACAAAAAATGAACATGTTTTTACAAAACCCAACATCTCTATATATACACACACAATGAGCTGTGAGGGCATCTGCAAATGAACCAGCCGTTACACTTGAGTGCACACCCACCCGCTCTGACTGGGTTCGGTATCCCGGCTGCTTCGTTTCGAGGGAGGTAAACCCAAGTACAAAATATTGCACTTTTGATTTGCGATTATACGCTTATTATTTTGTTTATTTGTTTTTTCATAATCAGCAATGCATATTATATGTCATGAAGAAGTGATAATTGTGTTTTAATTATGTGTTTAATTTTTTGGTTGCATGTGACCTTTAAATGTGTAAACATTATAGCAGCAATGTTCAACACGGTCAAGATCTATATTTGTCAGGCTGAATTTTGTGCAATAAATCTATTGAAAGTCGAAAGAGGTCAGGTGCATCACAGTCATATGCTATGTTGACCGAGTGACCACAGCTTAATTGGTGTACATACAAATACATACATTCTAATTATATGAATGAAGATCTGGTGGGTTAGAATTGATCTGCAGCAACCCATGATTGTCTTAAGAGGCTACTAATGGGATTGGGTGGTCAGGCTTGCTGACTTGTTTGACACATGTCATTGCATTGCAGGGTTTTATACAGGGAATTTTCTGGAGTTCAAGCTGAACATGTTGAAGTAAATAAAGAATTCCAGATATTTATAGTATACTGATTCCTGCAAGTCTGTTTGCTAGATTTATCTGCTCTTACTTCAGGTCTACGATGGCGATGAGAAGTCTTCGAGACCCGAGAGCCCCTGTATCAATGAAAACACCCTCCCACCCTTGGGTACATCCACCCCTATGAAGAGGGGAAACATTGGCTCCTTTGCCACGTCAATATCTCGAGAGTCGAGTGAAGTGAGTCTGGAGGAGTTGAACAAGACCTCCGTCTACCGGCACTTTGTGGACAAGTCGCTCAAGAAGATGGGGATGCAGAAGTTGGTTATTCGACTTAGGGATGGGCTGGACCGGTCTCTGCAGCGGGCTCGTGAAGCCCTCGAGAAGCCCAAACCGACCACATCTGAGGGAGGCGAGAAAGACAAGGTACGGCTACTTCATGACATAATGTACTCATTAGGGCTGATTGTTGGACACCATGTTGGAAAACTGTTTTACGTGGAGAGGTATTAAGGCAAAATTAACAGGGATAAAATTCTTCTGTAAATCTGCTGACTTTGTTAACATGGTTATGTCAAGATTCTCTTTCCTGATATGGAATATTAAAATATTTTCATGAATAAGGTAGCCCAGATGCCCCCCTAACTATCAGTGATTTTAAGAAATACATTTTGATTATTGAATTCAATGTTGTGATCAATAATAGGACCAAATCTTTATTCTGCTGCTGTTGACAACTTTCAACACAAATTTCAGAAATGAAATAATGTAAATATTGGTATTTCAAAAGCTAATCTTATCACTTGTTGTAATAGAGCAGTGTTGTTCTTATTATGTTTTTTATCTAGTCAAAAGTTAAATTGTTTCAATTCAGGTGTAATGTGTTTTAAATAATATCTCTGATAAAACGCCCAATTGGTGCTGTAATAAAGAAGTAAATTTGATTTTTTATAATTGTGTGAAGAAAAAAAAAGAAAGTCTGTTCAAGGGGAGATAATTAACAAAAGTTGTCTCCCCTTAATCTAGTCAACAGTTATTATGTTTCAATTCAGGCGTAATGTATTTCAAATAATATCTCTGATATATCACCCAGATGGTGCTATAATAAAGAAATAAGTTTGAGTTTTTCATAATTGTATGAAAATTATCTGATAAAGGGGAGATAATTCAACAAATGTTGTCTCCCCTTATTACCTTTTGCCTAATATCCTGCTTCAGTCCCCCAGTGCTGGTGACCTGGCATCTTCCCCCTCCCTCGTCCTGCTCCCAGATGTGAAGGACAACATATTCTACCGCAGCACCAGTTTGTCGGAGCATGGTGCTTGGAGCCAAGAGTTCATCAAGATGGGTCTGCCCTCTTTCCGACCCAGCTACTTGTTCCTGGTTCGAATCCCCGCTGGATGTCATCCATGAGTGTCTTCGGTTAAGACTGGAACATCGGCCCTTGGGAGACCCTTCCTTTCTCAGTGTCAGGCAGGTCAGTATGTCTTTGAAGAAAAGGGTACAGTGGGGAAGCCTACTGGTTAAAGCGTTCGCTTGCCACGGTGAAGACCTGGGTTCAATTCCCCACATGGGTACAATATGTGATGCCCATTTTGATGTCGCCTGCTGTGATATTGCTGGAATATTGCTAAACATGGCATAAATGGCACATTTGAGAAAATAGAATGTATATTTGTTATGACAGATTGGATAAGTTATACAACTTGAGTATTTGTTTTGGATTAGATGTGGAGGAATAGTGATTTCTTTTGCCATTTAATTACTGAAGGATTCATTGGCATATTTGTATATTATAGTATAATGCTAATGTTTTGCTTCATCAGACCGATAGATATTGCTCAGTTTTGTTCAACAACCAACTACCCGTGAATGTCCGGGTTAGAATATTGATCTTCAGTAACCCATGCTTGTCGTAAGAGGCGACTAACGGGATCGGGGGTCAGGCTCGCTGACTTGGTTGACACATGTCATCGGTTTCCAATTGTGCAGTTTGATGCTCATGCTGTTGATCACTGGATTGTCTGGTCGAGACTCGATTATTTACAGACCGCCGCCATATAGCTGGAATATTGCTGAGTGTGGCGTAAAACTAAGCTCACTCACTCACTTCAACAACCAACAAACAAACCATCTGTGCTGTGGACTAGTTTCACGTGTTCCCTATCAATTACATAGAATGTTGCCTGTTGATAGACTATTGAATGTTTACATTATTGGTGAAGTACAAGTACATTAATATATGATGTTTATATTCCTAAGTTTGTTTCTTGTTTAACACCGCACTCCAGCAATATTCCAGCCATATGACAGCAGTTTGTAAATGAAGCTATGGATTTGAGGCTGACAAACCATTGATTATTATGAAAGCTAATCTGTGATTTCTCTATGAATTTGAGGCTGACAAACCATTGATTATCATGAAAGCTAATCTGTGATTTCTCTATGAATTTGAGGCTGACAAACCATTGATTATCATGAAAGCTAATCTGTGATTTCTCTATGAATTTGAGGCTGACAAACCATTGATTATCATGAAAGCCAATCTGTGATTTCTCTATGAATTTGAGGCTGACAAACCATTGATTATGATGAAATCTAATCTGACCCCACTATCTTGCACTGAGTGACACCCTGTAATCTCCTGCAGCTGATCCGGGAGTGCAAGGAGGTGCTGAAAGGGGCAGTGCTGGTCAAGCAGTACTACCAGCACATGGTGGCCTCAGTCATGTGGGACGACAACGAGGCTGAGGAAAAGTTTGCCACTGACCTGGAACAGTTCGATAACGACATGAAGGCAATGCTGGATGTACGTATGTCGATGGAGGAGTATTGAGACTGTACCTATGATATTGCTGCCTATGGACTGCGATTTTCATTCCCCACTTGGCCTCTTTTTAAGACCAGTTTTTCAGAGCCTATGCTATTACAACATATTTTTAAAAAAATTGAAAAATTTGATCAAAAGGGTTTTGTTTTCAATTACTGTCACATTCCTTTTTATGGTAGAATGATTTTGGATTTGATGAGAAGGTGACAGAATTCATAATACAGTAATGACATGTCACACAATGTTAAATTTCATGTTTGATATTCCGCAATATCTAAAAACCCAACACTCATTTGTACAAAGTTGAAGATGAGCAAGATGAGCAAGCTATACAGGGTATGTAATTTAGATTTCACTTCAGTTTTATTGTGGAATCTTGTTCTGGGCAGGATTACTTCAAGTATCTGCAGAGTTGGATCAGTGCACTACAGTCTCTGCCTGAAGCATCGCGGAGTCTGAAAAATGCACTGGAGGAGGAGTGGATGTTCACCAAGTACATCTGTCCCCACGTCATCGGAGGGGAGGCAGAAGCGGGCAAGAAGTTCAGGTAGGGATGTCGTCATATATCATGATATTGATGGATGGTAAGGTTTGTAATGAAGATACTGTATTAATACCAACTGAACCCTTGAAGATCCGGGTTAGAATTGGTCTTCAGCAACCCATACCTGTTGTAAGAGGAGACTAAGGGTTAAAATTGGTCTTCAGCAACCCATACCTGTTGTAAGAGGAGAGGTCAGACTTGCTGACTACGTTGACACATGGTATTGCATCCCAGTTGCATATATATCGATGCTCATGCAGCTGATCACTGGATTGTCTGGTCCAGACTCGATTATTTACAGACCAGCGCCATTTGGCTTGAATATTGCTGAATGCGGCATTTAACATCAAACAAACTGATGAATATTGCCAGTAAATCAAGAATTCACTGCCAATTCACAAACATTTAAATACACTAATGATCTAGACATGATTGTTAACATGCTATATGTTGATTATTTACCGGCACACTGGCATGATTCATGATTTAACTACTGTCACATATTAGGAAACATAATCAGAGTTCTTTTGAGTAGCATGAATTGATTTGTCCTGATTGGTCCCCAGCACCATGGTTCTCAGTTTGCTGCTGAATATTGCTGACTTCCTGGAGAACGGCATCGATGACTGTACATCTGACCTGTACGACCTGACGGCCTACGGCAGTGACCAGGAGTGCTCGGACGACTCAACCACCACGTCCAACAAGGAATGGGTTTCCGACTACAGGTAGTTGCTCTTTGTTCAGTTAAAGCTACAGCTCGAATCTTTGTGAGTGAGTGAGTTTAGTCTTATGCGGATTTTCACAATATTCCAGCAATATCACAGTGGGGGACACCAGAAATGGGTTTCACACATTGTACCCATGTGGGGAATCGAAGCCAGGTCTTCAGCGTGAAGAGTGAATGCTTTAACCACAAGGCTATCCCACCGCCCCTCTAATGTTTGTGATTTTAAGAGGAAAAGAGTGCACTGCTCCATATAAACCCACACAGGTTCCTATAAACATGAATGAAACTGTAAAAGGTTAATTAAGTCTTGTAGTCCTTGTCAAATCAAAGGATAGGAAACATCAGGTATGAAACACCCATCTACTGTCAAGTTGGGTAAGGAAAGAGAAGCTGTGTTATGCCCTTGAGCATGTTGAACCTTTTACACAGTCTCCATTCTCAGTCTGAATGATGATATTTTAAAAAAGTGTCATTGAAATCAGATATTTAACTGAATCAATTTACAATGCTGAGCTCATAAAAGCGAATACATTATTCAGCCATGCAGGAAGCAGGGTTGGAAATAACCCATTGCCCAACGCCCCAGTCCAGTGCTTTTTTCTGTTGGGCTAGCAAATTTGTATGTCACGCTGTATCGGTGTCAAGTTGACTTTCCAATGTTAATTTTGTTGTTTATTTAAAAAACAACAAGAAAAACGGCCAGTATAGTGGAAAAATTATCAGGCAAGTGATTTTACATGTGCCACTGTACCGGAGTACATTAGCAATTTTAGTTATTTCCACCCCTGAGGAAGTGTATTAAAACAGTTATCTCCCTTTGATGGAATAAGCTAAGTGTGATATAGTGTATCGTCTTTAACAAAGACGTGAACATACACCACACCTAACCATCCAGTTTGCAGTATAGTAAATAGCTAATGTGCAAGCTTGCATTTTCTTTCCCAAATCAGTAGGACAAATTATGCTGATTATGATTGAGACATGATACAAAACACCTGACTTTTTCACTTCCATCCAGGCATACCATCCAGCACACGTGTAGGAACTTCAAGATACTCTTTCATGAGGCTCGGGAGAGAGCATCAAAGGCCCTGGGTTTTGCTAAAATGTTAAGAAAGGTAAGCAGTCCATCAACATTCAGTGTCTTGCTCTACCTGTTTAGGGATATTTCTGCTGCTTTCTAGTATTTGGTTGAAGTGTACAGAGACTGTGTTTTCTCTCAAGTATGTTTTTTCATACGGCTGATTGTTTTTGATACTGACTTCTTTTATGATCCAGAACTGAGTGTCAAGTATTCAGTAGTAAAGTGTTTCGCTTTGTCTTGACCAGTTGAATATTTCTAAATAGCCTGTTACCTGTGTTACCTACAAATGAACATAATCAGTTGGTATGAAGATAGTAGTACTACTCTAGAAAACTGTGAATGTTTTACCATAAGCTCTGTATGAAAATAATTACAAAATTATGATAGAATCATTTAGGGATATATATAATGCATTACCATTTTGAGTTTGAATTACTTATGGCCACTAATATTTTTTATATGCTGATGTTTTGTTTTATTCAAGGACCTTGAGATTGCATCAGATTTCAACATCTCCGTGACAACTAGAGAAATCCTGGATAAGCTGGAAGAAAAGAATCATGTCAGGGTAGGTCCTCGTGGCATATCTATGGAGAAAAAACATGTCACATCATGGCATGTTGCTAAATTTGTGTCTCGTGATCGAGGTTGCTACTAGCGGTGTTATGATTAATTGAAATAATCGAAGATTGGTCGCAGTGACCAAATGACCAAGCAATCGATCCCATTTTCTCATAATCGAAACAAAAAGATTGTGGAGCTACTGTTTTAGTGTTGGAAACACTTGATGATGGAACATATCTTAGAAGTTGTGTGGGCCTGAAAACGTGTTTATTCTTTTTCAGAGAGATCGTCCTTGGGGTACATATATGCATTTTCTGTGGTTGAAAATGTCCTGTGACTGTTGTATCAATGTTTTAATAAAAATAGCCACGGTAGCGTGTTGCTTTTCCGGGGAAGTTGCCATGGCGGGAAGTTTAGCGTGCCACGGGTTGTCATATTATGCTATTAACCAAGTATATCTTCCCGTGGTCGCTTTCACTTAATTTTCAATGTTTTGTACATGTATATTTATGCTGCTGGTTCCTCTGTTAGCTACATAAGCACGCTGATAAGCTCGAGCAAGTGCTTGTGCTGCCTTGAAAGGTGGGACATAACCCTGATGTCTGTGAGCTTTGTATGGCCTTTTCTCCCCGGCCCAGAAGCGAAGGGCCAGCAGATTTCGGTTCTACAAGGAATTGCAAGAGGTGGCAGGGGAACTTACCCAGGAGGTCCCCTGCCTAAAGCCAAAAAGTCCAAACCGACTAAAAAACCTAAGTCGCATAAGTCGCCTCACCAGTCATCCCACAGTTGTTTTGATATGTCACTAATAACCCAATTATTCCAGCAGCATCTGGACTCCGTGAAGTTCCTTGTTCGTGAGTCCATTGGAAGTCTCTGTCAGGAGTTCCTCGCCCACTCTGAGCAGGGGACCGAGAGTCCGGGGATGGGATCGCCGAGCCCTGCTCGATCCCTTAGCCTGGAGGTGTCTGTCGATCCTTTGCCTTTGGCTTCGGGTCCAGACGCCTCGGCTATCCCGGAGGGGGAGGGTTCGCTCCCAGTCCCCCTCTCGGTGCTGGCGCAGGGTCCGTTGAGGATTCCTGGGGTTCCGTTCCCTGCGCCGCCCCGCCCCATGAGAGCGGAGGAGTCGGTTCTGCCCGGTCTTCCTCCCGTGTCTCGGGACCGGGGTTCGAGTGGTGTGTCGGTTGCCGGAGCGGGGAGTTCCTTCGGCTCTTCCCTTCCCTCGGTGTCTGGGGCTCGGCCTCCCACCGGGTCGGGGTTCGGATCCTCTTCACGAGGAGACCTGGATTCTGACTCGGGCTCGGGTGCCGAGTCTATGGACGTTGGGGAGGTCGAGGAGCCGGAGGGCACTTTCCGCTTCTTGTTGGCTCTCCGGGGAGGTCACGCAGCGTATTGCCGTAGTATATTCCCCAAGCCGCGGTACCAACCTGTCACTTTCAGGACTCAGCTGAGTTCCGCTTGCCTGCGAGGCGTTTGCCCCTAGGCAACCCTCGCAGACACTGCCCAGATCTTGCCTTCCCTGGGACAGGGCGTGATGGATCCCCTCCTGGTTGGGACACGCCTCAGATTCGATTTACCCGAACTCGCTAAGAGGTACCAGCTTAGGGACGATTCTCCTCTGTTCTTTGTGCCGGTGGTTGACGCAGTCTCGTGTTCGCCCGGGTCGCCCTCGAGGGAGGCTTCCCAGCTTCCTCTGTCACAGCCCTGGCTGCCAAGCAAGGCGCTTTAGTTCCACCGTTTGCTCTTGCTGGCGGCGCACCCTACAGCAGGCTTACCGGACTTATGAGGAAGTCCATCGGAATGCCATGCAGCAGGTGTGGGGTGGTGATCCATGAGGCCTACCTTTCCTCTATCTCAAGGTCGGCTCTGGAGGCTGAAGGGAGCACTGGGGACATGTCCCCAAGATGTTGTTCTGCTTCGCCAGTTGTCCAAAGTGCAGGCCCACCTAGTGCACTCCACTCTTTGTGGTCTCGCGGGCGCTCACGGTGATGTGCACAGTCATGGGGATGCGCCAAGCTGTGGCTGTCTACATCCCGCTACTCGGCAGCTTACACAGCAGACCTTGCTAGCCCCACGCTCCAGCTATGAAGCGACGTTGTTTCCGGGGCTCAGCAGGTCATTCGGGAGGCTGCCAGAGGTACCTCCTTCAAGGACTCTAAGGTCTTGTTGGAGCATCCGGCTGGGCTTCGCCCGGGCGTCCCAGTAGCTGCTTCTCCTCCGGGTGCAGCCTACATCCGAAGCCCGCCAGCTGGCTTCGGACGCTGGGAAGGGTAGAAGGAGGAGCCGCCCCGCCAAAGGTAAGGGCAAGGAGCAGTCCTCTTCGCCTGGCTCCCATCAGCCTTTTCGTGGTCGCGGGAGGTCTGCTCCGACCTCCCGGCAGAAACTGCAGGCTGTCGCCGTAGGGGTCCGTCCCCAGTCAGTTCACCTCCGAGGGACCACTCACGCCCTCTCTTACCACACGTCCCAGTTGGGGCCAGCCTCTCTCTATTCCTGCCGGAGTTGGAGAAGGCTACCAGCAACACTTCCTAGGTGCTTTCCACCGCCAGTGTCGGGCCATCAGCCACTGTGGAAGCGAGGCCTGCCAGAATTCACTTGTTTTTCTCGGGCGCGGGTTCCAAACTCACAAGGATCTTGTCTCCCATTCGGGGTCACCAGAGTACGGGAGATGGTGTCTTTGTTCCCAGCCCCCACCAGCAGACTTGGCTCCGCCTCTACTGGGGTCATATGGTGCAACTATCTCTGTAGTGTGGCGGCGCTGAGGATGTGCCCTATACAGCAAGCTTTGGCGAAGTCTGTGGGCTCACTCGGAGGATCTGGAGCAGTGTCTCACAGTCCCCGGTGGTTGTCTCCTCACCTTCAGTGGTGGACCAATGTTTTAATCTCTCCAAGGGGTCCTTTGAAATCCCGGCCCAGCTCTTACAGTTCAAACTGGATGCGTCCCTCATGGGCTGGGGTGTGTTCTGGGCAGTCGGTCAATGTCCAAACTCTGGTCCGAGCCGAAGCCCGCCTTCACATCAACGCCTTTGGAACTGAGAGCTGTGCGGTTGGTTTTCAAGCTTCCGGAGCATGTTCAGGGCCAGGTGGTTCGCCTTCAGTTGGACAACCGTGCGGCCATGACGCATCCTGAAGCAAGGCGCATGTGTCCCTAGCGCCCTTCGGAGGCGTGGGAATTTCTCCTCTGGTGCTACCAGTGCGACTGTCAGGTGCTTCCTGTTTATCTCCCCGGGTTGGAGAACATCGCGAGCAGACGCTCTCTCTTGCCGGATCCTGGCCCCTCACGAGTGGATGCTCGACCGGCAGATATGTCGGAGTTATCTCCCAGTTGTACAGGATCGCTCCAGGTGGATCTGTTTGCGTCCCGCGCGGACGAATCAGATACCCATGTTCTGCTCTCGAATACGGACCAGAGGGCGCTTGGCTTCCGACGCCTTCCTGCTGGATTGGACGGGCAAAAGTGCTCTGGAAGCATGCCTGCCGCTACCACTCATTCCCCGGTCCTCTCCCAGCTGTCCACCCAGCCAGCTTGGCTACTTGTGCTACTGGCACCTTCATGGCTGTCAGAGAGCTGGTTTCCGGTAATTCTCAGGTTTCTGGCTCAGCCTCAGCCTCCTGTTCTATTACCTTTGCGACCGGACATTCTCATTTAGAACGGTAGTGCCATACCCCAATCCAAGGATTCAGTGGGTGGCTTGGCCTCTGTCAGATCTCTAGCCTCGGGAAGCACGCTGAATTCCTGCAGCAGTTGCAGACACAATTCTGGCTTCAGTGAGGGATTAAATTCGAAACATTCAATATGGGATAGGTGGTCCCGCTATGCCGCTGGTGTTCAGATAAAGGGGATTGCAGATCCCTTTTCTGCAGATTTAGTCCGAGTATTGGAGTTTTGCAAGCTTGTTTGGAAGAAGGCCTGGCGGCTTGGCAATTGTGCCGACCATGTCGTGGCTACTTTCACCACTATTTCCACTTTTCACAAGGCTGTCGATGGTGGCGGTAACTTCTGGGGAGGGTCGGCACTTACATCTTCTGCAGCCCGCTTGTGCTGGATCGTGTCAGATCGGATTCGGAAGGTCCATCACGCTCAGTGACAGCTCCTAACCAGCCCCAGCCTTCCACATCGGGGACGAGTCAATTGTGCTAGATTGTCTCTCAAGGTCTATATCAAAACGCAGGGGATCCGCAACACATCTGTTCTGCTGTTAGGGATCCGTGCAAACAGACCCTGTCTCGCTGGCTTGTTTCCCATCTGTTATCAGCTGTTAGGGTGGTGGTCAGGAATGCATGCACTGCCCATTGAAGAGATGCTCTGCCGCCATGGCGAGCAATCAGGGCACTATCCTGATCACATTCACGTGATCTGGCTTTGTTTCAGTGGACAGTGTTTCAATCTTCTGGTTTAGTTGACACTTTTTCAATTGTGTTTTATTGATATGTCCGCTGTTGTGTGATCTAACTCCTTTCAATTCTCTCCAGAGATTATGGTCGGTTGTGAGTGATTTTTCCCCCCACGGTGCTCTCTAATAGATCATGATGTGGATGGGGTTGTTTTTCGTGACTTCTTAGCATCTATTATGCTTAACCTACGAGGTCGGATCTCAGTACCTATCCTCCTCCTGTCGGGTTACCCTCCCATCATGCCTCGCAGGATGCTTCGGGACACATGGACAGGTGAGTGATTGTTGGCGCCTGTTACATTCTTCCCTAACGATCGCTATTCATGTGTACTTTGACAGAATTCCCTCCTCCCTGGCCTCCGGTCTTTGGGAGTCTGAGTTTATGCATATATGTACCCCAAGGACGATCTCTCTGAAAAAGAATTAAACAAACCTGCAGAGGTTTTCAATTCTTTGAAGAGGATCGTCCTTGGGGTAGGTCCGCCCGCCTCCCCGCAATTCTGTTCACTGATTTATTCAGCAGAAGGAATGATGATACGGGCCTAGGTGCTTACCTGGTTGGCTGCGCATGCATAGCAGGGAGGTAACTCCACGTGGTGGGGGCCGTATAATAGATAAAAAGATTTTTATTTATTGTACAATATTTTTATTAAAACATTGATAAAACTGTCACATGACATTTTCAGCCGCAGAAAATGCATATATGTACCCCAAGGACGACTCTCTTCAAAGAATTGGAAACCTCTGCAGGTTTAGTTAAATTCTTACAAAACTCACTTCTCTTACTGAAAAGTCATGACTGAATATTTCATGAAGACTCTGGGAAGTTTATGTTTGTGATAAAGTAGCAAGTTGCATCTTCACACTGGATGTGAATTTACAAATGCAATTTGCGCAGTAAAACAATAAACAGAGAACTACATGTTTTTGTCTTTATACTTATCTGCAATATAACCTGAAAAGGAAAATCTGACAAAGGACGCTAACTAATTTTTTTTCAATGATTGCTAGTTGGTAATGAACCAATCATCAATTGTGAGATTGCAGCCAATTCCCAACACTAGTTGCTACAGTAGACAAGACAAGACAATCGTTTATTGTATTTTAGGCCACCGGCCCTTATACAAGCGAGTTACATACATTAAGACATGGTTAACTGTAAGTGCTCGTTACGACGAATAAATGCATATTTAACATAGAGAGCTAGATTGCGTAGGGTGAATTCATTATTAGTTGTTAATAAACTGGTAAAAGCTATCAGTGGTGGTTCCGACAGATAACGTTCTGGGATATACATGTAACGTAAATCTTTATAAAATGGACAGTCAAGGGTAAAATGTAGTTCATCTTCTACTGAAAAATTACATAAAGGACAAGATCTTTCAGATTTTGGGATGGACAGTTTTCTGCCTCTATTTACCATTAAGTCCAACAAACCTATCCTATATTTGACAAATATATTTCTGTTAGACTTAAAAGTAAGTTTAGATAAATACAGTTCAGGTTGTAATAGGTTTTTAAATGTTCTATATAATTCGTAACGAGAGCTACTTTCTAGAGTGAAATGCCATTCCTGATGAAACATATTTACCGCTCGATCACGAAATTCTTTTAAAAACATAAAGACATCGCCCACACCCTGGCTTATCCATATAAACCCATATCCATGAGAAAACAACAGTATTGACCTCATCAGTGATATCAGTGCTTGTACACTACAGGTGATCGCGCCTCTGAGCTCTGGGTACATGATGTTCATCCCACGCGAGATCATGAGCAACACCCGCCTCATCCTACAGCTGCTCAACGTCACCTGTGGTCGGGAGGAGAGTACAGCCAAGCAGTGGACAGACGAGGATGGTCAGTGTCTCGTCAACGAGGGCTACCTCCTCATGCTGCGGTGTAAGGGCGGCATTGACCAAGTGCCTCAATGTCCACTGTGGTCTGGGGAGAAAGTCCATATGGAGCTCACGGCGGAGACTGCTATTGCTCTGTCTCATATTGAGGTGAGTGAAAACAGAATCTGCCAGTATAGTTTTAGGGTTAGACAGACTGATGATACTAGTATACTAGTTTTTACATGGTATAATTTGACAGGGTCTCCTGAGCTTGTTCATAGAATGTTGCACAGCTCAGGAAGGAAACAAATTAATCTTTAATGATGCAAATTGTATACCAGGGATTCAGATTTATCTGTCAGTGGAATGAATAGACTTACAGTTATTCTTCTTTTATCCCATTTACACTTTAAGAAAATTTAGAAAAAAGTCTCTAGATTTGGAGAATCTAAAAAATATACACTATGTGACATAATCCATTGGTGAGAAGCATTAGTTCAAACCAGCTTTTGGCAAAATGTCAGATAAATATGTCTACTAATTTGGAACAAAGTATAGTGTCTTGTGTCTAAAACGAAGTTTTATCTAAATATGATTTAGAATATTGGTCACTGTCTTTTCCCCTCATGTGCAAATGACCTGTTGCATTAGGGATAATTAATATCAAACAAATGCTTGGAATGTTCAAATAAAGGTTGAAGCATTGGTCCGACACTGGCCATGTCTTTTTGCCTCACAAAAGGTGCAGTCATCCTTTCATTGTGATATGTGAGAGGTCAGCTTACATGCTGGTACAAATGACTACTGACTAAAAACTGAAACTATCATCAGACGCTTCATGAATTACTAATGCGTCAAGTTAAGTGTAAGGGTTATTGTGATGCTTCTTGTAAAAAGTGGCTGATATTTCAGGTGGAGTCTCTGTTGTTGGTGGTTATTCACTCGTCACAGCTGTCCAGTCAGAGGAAGGAGTTCAACTACAAGATGGGAGACACGATCAGTTTGGTCAATGAACAGACATCCTGCCATCAGTCTATAGCAGAGTCCCTCGCTTCTCTCAAGGTTAGAAGAATAACATCAATGATAAAAATAAATCTGTTTATTATGCACCAGAATCCATTCACAGAATGAATACTCATGGTGTTACATTCTTAATACCGTGAGGATGTGCTGGCAATGTGAGTGTTAAGTTCATTGCGCCTAACAGGCAGCATGGCTGTATGATCCCCAGGGAGTTGATAAAGTATCTGAAAGTACGATTATGTCCTATGACCGGGGATAGTAATGTACGTAGCGCCGTGAGCAGGCAATGTGCCTGGATATGAGTGCCATATAAGCGGACTATTACTATTACTTTTCTTAATACCCTGGACAGTGAGTCAGTGCACACCCGGTTTCATTCCCAGCAGCCTGGGGAGTATACACCCCAAACTGGCTTGTGAGACATTACAAGGTTGATGGTCACTGGTGGGTTGCCATTCTCTGCTGAGTGAACGGAGGCTTATTCCAAACAATGTCCTATGATTTTGCTAGAATGTTTCTAAATGAGGCTGATATGAAAGTCACCTTTCTAAAAGTCTCCTCCACTCCTTGCTAGCTAGCTAGCTAGCTTGCTCACTCACTCACTCACTCACTCACTCACTCACTCACTCACTCACTCACTCACTCACTCACTCACTCGATACCCCAACACACACACATACACACATAGCCAATATGTTGAGTAAGTAAGTTGAGTCTCTGTCTGTTGCAGGAAACAGCCATAAAGATGCGGGAGAAAGTGGCCACAGCCATAAGCCAGGTGGACGAGAAACTCAACTTTGACGACATTGCCAAGCTGGAGGACAGCGAGAAGAATCACATCCTTAAACTATACAGAGAGACAATGTTGCAGTGTTACAACTTTGGGTTTGAGGTGAGTCAAGCTGGGTAGTAGGAGGCAGACATTCCTATACCGTATATAACCGTAGAGATAGTCCGACCCCATAGATAAGGTGACCCCCAAACTTGACCTTTAGAATCAGTGTCAAAATGGTATGTTTCGTACATAAGCCGATCCCCCGCGATGGGGTCCTAATCGCGGCAAACACTGACCACAGACAAGTGGCAGTTACCAATAATCCTTGCAAATAATACAATGCCCAGCCAAAACAACTTACAACTTAAAAGGTAAATAATCTTGTCTAGTGATGTTTAATTGCAAATTTGACGTCTTTACTGACAAAGTTGTCTTCAGTTGTTTGTTCACGCGTAGTGATACGATGTTGTTTTCTTTCCCCTGGAAAAACATTTGACGAAAGCGTAACCCATAGATAAGCTGACCCCCTTCTACAGACTGCTTTTTGGGGGTCCTCAAAATTCGGCTTATCTACGGTAATATACGGTATATATAGTACCGTACATGAATTTTGGGAAGTTTTGATTATTTGTTTGATGTTTTACCCCACACTCCGCAGTATTCAAGCAGTGTGACAACAGTTTGTAGAGAACCCAGTGATTGATGTAGTGAGCATGATTTACACATTTCGGATATGATGACTTGTGTTAACTAGATCAGCAGGTCACCGGTAAAGTAAGTCACCTACAGCAGCAAGCATAGGTTGCTCTTAGGTTTTAGCCACTATTGTTTATATTGAAAGTATGCATTGTAAAAGAGGACCTGTGCTTTTTGTGTGCAGTATTACAAGGAGGTTTCCCGTCTTGTGTCTGGGGATCAGAGGCAGAGACTAGGAAGAGGACTTGTCAAGTTTGCCAAATCTTGGATGAAGTTTGTGTCAGAAAAATGTGAAAGGGGCAGAGGAATGAGACCCAGGTGACGTATTACTAGATTATTCTATCAGATGTAGGTGCCTGGGAGATGTGTTGTGAGCATATTCTGTCAGTTGAGGGTAACCTAGTGGGTTAGGCGTTTGCTCGTCATGCTGAAGTTCTGGGTTCCATTCCCCACATGGGTACTATGTGTGAAGCCGAATTTCTGGTGTCCCCCGCCCTGCTATTGCTGGAATATTGCTAAAAGCGTGTAAAACTAAAACTCACTCACTCTTAAATTACAACAAACAGTGACTCCATACAATGGCTGATGTTTTCATGCATTAGTATTGACCAGTTTGCAGGGATGAGAATTTTCTTCGGATCCGCGGAATTCCGTGAATTTCATAAGGCCAAGGGTCATTTTTGTGAATCGACTAAATCTGTTGATAAAGTTTTAGTGGGGATGGGGTTGCTGTGTTCATGATTTCAGTTTTCAGTTGATTTCAGTTCATTTCTGAGCCAGTTTTAAAGGTCTAAAATGCCTAAATATCAGGAGCTTCATGTCCCCCCAACGGGCACTGCCCTGGACCCGCTAGTTTTCAGCGTTTTTCTCAAAACTTCATTCTCATCCCTGAATTTGGGTTGTGTACTATATATAATGTTGTTTCTCACACAAATGATGACATTCACCATCCAATCAGTGTTATGCATGTTTATCTCACATTCATTCATTTTAAATATGTGTTGAAATTTCCCAAGATATGGCAGATTCTGCTGTATGGAGGTAAAATACTAAGTATATATTTAGAAATTTGCATATTCTTGTCTTCATGTTCTATGGTAATAGAAACAGTTGACAAGGAAATGAGAGAGCTTTCTGTTTTGAACTTTGGTGTAGAGTAAGAGGAATTTCATCATGTTACATTTGATGACATTGTACATCAGTTGAGAATCATCTTCTCCAGGTGGGCCAATCAAGGCCTCGATTTCCTCACAGTGGCGTGTGAACCCAAGGTCCTGGCTTGTTTGTCGGAGGAGGAATTTCAGGTATGTCTGTATATCTGACTAAACAAATATACACTCAATCTTGGTCATTTCCAACCTCGATAATCTCCAGGGTATACATTACGATCACTCTTCACTATACCCTGGATGCATCCACGTCTTGGCCTGATAATTATATTACCTCCCTTTGCTGGCTCTGCATTCTCACAGTAGCCAATCAGCTAAGCCCCCGTTACATCCGAGCTTGCCAGTGTCAACAAAGATAGCGGTCCCAGTCGCGAAGGTTTGTTCACAGTGACATTTAGATTTTTGGGGAAATCATACAGACAAATTGACAGATCTGAAACTTTAAAAAATATATGAAAGAACTCCTTCTACCTCTTTCAGAGTACCTCTGCATCAATTGTGTTGCCAAGTTTAAACGGCTAGATAATTTAAGAAGCGAAAGTGAGTTGTGATTGGTTCGCTCAACTTCCCAGCGTAGACACCTGATTGGATAAAAAGCCAGCAAAGGGAGGTAATAAAATCATCGGGCCAACCCGTGGATGAATCCAGGGTATAGTGAAGAGTGATCGTAACATATACCCTGGAGATTATCGAGGATGGGTCATTTATACAATATACATATGTGAAGCAGATTTTGTTGACATGTTAAAGAATCAAGCATTTCATACACATACTCAAGGACATGTGAGTGTGTTTCAAGTGTAGTGTTTGAAAATGTTTGAAACTAAGATATGCTTCACATTCTGGTTGTTGAAGTATATGAGCAGAGCTTTTTTTTTTTTAATTCTTTTTATTCATTTCAGGAGGTGTACATTGCAAGGTGGAATGAAAATTGATATAAAAGCATTTACAATATCGTACAACACAGGAGATATACGTTTCATTACAATGACATACTGTAGGTTCTCTAAGAATTGAATTAATCTATTTGGCCACTTTTTGTAAAATTTAGCGATCCTGTTGTTTTTCCTGGCTATGTATCTTTCAACTATTATAATATCCTGTAGTATCTTCATGAATTCTGCTATATGTAAAAGTTTATTATTAATACTAGAAGTTAATATAAATTTTTACCAGCCAGTATAATGTTGTTGATAAAATCATAGCCAGAATTAAATCCCAACAGGACTGTAAAATTTGTGAGTACTAAATCAATATTAAGAATGTTTCTAAGAAACACTCTTAAATCATTCCAAAACGTGAGCAGAGTTATATCCCTTGGGGGGTCAGGATCTGACTGTTATCAGTTTTGCCATTTTTATGATGCTTTCTCATCAAAAATGGACGACGACTACATGCTGCGTCATTCAGTTAAAATCCCATGACATAACTAAAATACTATTCACAGGTTTGTTAAAACTAAACTCACTCGCATATCACATGTACAACATATCTTGCGTCAGTTTGATATATGGTAATAGTCCGAATCTTATTTCAGGAGCTGAAGAAAAACATCAATGACTGTATCACCCACGTTATAGGCTCAGCAGACAAGGGAGGACATTGGCCTCATGGTAAGCTGCCCTTTGTGTCTGGGATCATCTCAGGGAAGAGTCAGATGTATGGCAACTTACTCAGTCTCCTGCCTATAGAAAGTATACTCTCGAATGTTAAATGTCTTACATTTGACCACTTTCTAAATTATTTCCTGCATAATGTGTAATCTCAAATATAAATGGCAAGGTCTGTGATCTAGACTACCAGTTGTCTGACTTCCATATTTTGTAGAAGACGCGGTGGCAAGGGGGTTAGGCGGCTGACTTTGTGTGCTGGGGATAAGATGCCTGACTCTGAGGGTGTGAGTTCGAATCCCAGATGGGACTCAACCCAACAAAAGTACAAGAATCTGTACTTTACTGAGAAAGTGTAATCCCAAATATAACATATGTTACATTGGGTACTTTTGAGTTATAAATTAAGTCAGCCTCTAATTGATGAAGCCATAAAAAAAAGATATATTTTTATATTATATTTGAAAATTCTTTGCAGGTAAATCAGGTGTAGAGGGCAACTTCCGTCACCACATGCAGAGATTTCCATCGTGTCCGGAACCGTCCCTCAGCCAGAAGATGGTGCGCTCCAACTCCAGTAAATCCACCATGAGTGAAGGGATCCCACATGTCTCCGGCCTGTCCACGCCCTCCACACCCAGTCCCAACATCTTGGATTCATGTATGTACACAAGTAATTCAACTCCACTCAACAATATTCCAGCTACACTGTATAAGATGGCAGCTTGTCTTGGGACAACCTCTTCCCCTCAGACAGATTTTCACATTGTTTCACATTTTCCTTCCTGACAGTTAACCGTACAGTTAACATATTTAAATGGGAAATATTTAAACTTATCTCACGTAATGTACTTTCTCCTGTTCTGTTGACTGTGGAGTGGAAACGACCTCAAACTAAGTTTTCAGCCTCTTGTAACACCTTGCCAGAACACACACATGCTCCATCTATTGTTGTAGGCAGTCACTGGAAACTCATGCATATAGTGTGTCTTCTTCCGGTTGACCGCGTAACTCTTAAGTAACGTCATTTTCTTCCTTGTCCCCAACAGGTGCAGACGAATGTGTTCAAGAATCTTAATGAATGGACTGCTCTGCAGTCATACTTTGAAAGCATAATTATTTAAGTCCCTCACTCAGCTTCTGTATACATGTATGTGAATTTAAGCGTGAGGGAGTTTTCGTTTTACGTTGCTTTTAGCAATATTCCAGTATTATCACAGCAGGGGGACACCAGAAATGGGCTTCACACCTTGTACCCATGTGGGGAATCAAACCCGGTTCTTCGGCGTGACAAGTGTACGCTTTAACCAGTAGACTACCCCATCGCCCCATTTCAGGATTGGATATGTTCTCCAATCTCCCATTGTAAATCCCTGTTATTTTTGCTCATGGATGTTTGGGTAAATGTCTGTTAACTATGCTGCAGCCGCTCAGTGTGAGTCTCTGACCAACTTGACGAGGAAAGACCGCATCAAACTTGGGTGTCGCCGCCTGGAGGAGGAACGTAATCAGAAGATGCGGGACAAGAGGATGATTGGCCGGACCACGTCACGTCAGAGTGAGATTGACTACCACATCAACGTCAGGAGAGTCAACTTCAGGTGGCAGAGAGGAAACAAGATAGGTGAGCTGCAGTAGGCTTTTAAGTCAGGATTATATATTGTCATTTAGAATTTGGCTGATGTGGTTGATGTATGCCATTGTATCATAACTGCAAAATCAACGCTTATGATTTCAATCACTTAACTATAACTTAAATAAGGCTGACTGCGGTGCTATGAAACAGACGACCAAATCAATCAAGGCACAATAAAATGTCTCTACAAGAAAATTCATCTCAAATCAATGATGCCCACAAAATGTCACATTCCCCCCAAAATATGATTGTTGAAGTCTTGCAATAATAGTTTAAAGTATTTTTGCAAATTACAATTAAGTTTGGTTGATCAGGTTCATAGTTGAAGATACATTGTGTGGTTCAGGAAGCTTATTTGCCAGAGCCCAGTCCACAAAGCGATGATAAGACTATGTCAAGAAATGTAAACTATTAAAATATGCAGCAAGTGGTTGGGACCAAAACCCAGATGTTGTATCTGTCAGTTTGTTATTCATGTAGTTTAATGTATCAGAGGTCACCTTAGCGTTAAAATCACTTCATGGAACAGGGCCCTGATATGAGACATACATGACACTGTGTGTTCTAGGTGAGGGTCAGTTCGGGAAGGTGTACACAGCTGTCAACATGGACACAGGAGAACTGATGGCACTGAAGGAGGTGAGTCACAGAACATGGACCCCCATAGCGATTCTGAGTTAGAGCAGGTCCAAACATCCCATGATGGTCGTCCTAGACCACTGACTGTGGCGATTAAGAGTTAGAGCAGGTCACAAACTTCCTTTGATGGTCCTAGACCACTGACTGTGTGGCGATTAAGAGTTAGAGCAGGTCACAAACATCCTTTGATGGTCCTAGACCACTGACTGTGTGGCGATTAAGAGTTAGAGCAGGTCACAAACATCCTTTGATGGTCCTAGACCACTGACTGTGTGGCGATTAAAAGTTAGAGCAGGTCACAAACATCCCATGATGATGGTCGCCCACTAGACCACTGACCGGGCGATTAAGAGTTAGAGCAGGTCACAAACATCCTGGATGGTCCTTAAGACCGTTAGAGCAGGTCACAAGAGCATCACAAACATCCCATGATGGTCCCTAGACCACTGACCGTGTGGCGATTAAGAGTTAGAGCAGGTCACAAACATCCCATGATGGTCGTCCTAGACCACTGACCGTGTGGCGATTAAGAGTTAGAGCAGGTCACAAACATCCCATGATGGTCGTCCTAGACCACTGACCGTGTGGCGATTAAGAGTTAGAGCAGGTCACAAACATCCTTTGATGGTCCTAGACCACTGACTGTGTGGCGATTAAGAGTTAGAGCAGGTCACAAACATCCTTTGATGGTCCTAGACCACTGACCGTGTGGCGATTAAGAGTTAGAGCAGGTCACAAACATCCTTTGATGGTCCTAGACCACTGACCGTGTGGCGATTAAGAGTTAGAGCAGGTCACAAACATCCCATGATGGTCGTCCTAGACCACTGACCGTGTGGCGATTAAGAGTTAGAGCAGGTCACAAACATCCTTTGATGGTCCTAGACCACTGACTGTGTGGCGATTAAGAGTTAGAGCAGGTCACAAACATTCTTTGATGGTTCTAGACCACTGACCGTGTGGCGTTTCCGAGTAGAGTATCTAATAAATATCCTATGCTATTTGTTCCAGAGCTAGGCTGGTCAGGCTCAGTGACTTGGCTGTCATAGTATTGCAATTTAAAAAAACCCATTATGAGTATAGGTTTAAAGGTCACATGCAACGTAAAACACAACTTTGCAGATTCTGATACCTTTCGGTATGGACTTACCGAAACAAAGCGTCAAAAATGCAAATTCAACTTATAAAGTTGAAAAATAACGCGATAAAAAAAAACGCGCGAAATTGGAGTTCAAACGTTTCACTAATTTTCCCCAGACATTTCTGGGGAATACGGGTTTCGACAGCTGGCCTGCGCTCATAGCACGCGTCGCAGTGAAATAGGTTCAGCGCAACTTGGAAGCGGGCTGTCTGGTGAATACTCGGTGAAGGCTTTGGTGTGAGCTATTTTCCTAATGTTTTGTTGATATCTCACAGGCGAAGCTTTTATATGTAATGACAGTAAATAAACTGTTTATATAATTTCATTTGTCTATTTCACCACACGTTCTTCTTACCGAGTCACTTTCTCAGTTCGATGCTTAAAAGCAATGTCATTATTTAGCGTTGACACAATTTCTAACTGTGATATAGATATGTCGCTGTCACAGACAAAACTCAATGTCTTGTTTTATTGACACCTGTGTGTCTGCCTGCCTGTCTGCTAATGACAATATTCAATACACAACTGCGATCACTGACCACATGCAATTTGAACTTAACACCAATCAGGCTATACACCATAAACAAAACGCATTGATTTATGGCCCGAGTTCGGTCTCTGTCACATTATGTAATTACACAGACAGGCAGGTGTGATACTTGAACACATGACATGTTATGATGTCTGTTGATTGCAAAATGTTATACACAAAAAATGAGCATGTATTTACAAAACCCAACATCTCTCTATATATACACACACAATGAGCCGTGAAGGCGGCATTTGCTAATGAACCAGCCGTTACACTTGAGTGCACACCCACCCGCTCTGACTGGGTTCGGTATCCCGGCTGCTTCGTTTCGAGGGAGATCGAAACCCAAGTACAAAATATTGCACTTTTGATTTGCAATTATACGCTTATAATTTTGTTTATTCGTTTTTTCATAATCAGCAATACATATTATATGTCATGAAGAAGTGATAATTGTGTTTTAATTATGTTTGATTTTTTGGTTGCATGTGACCTTTAAGTAATTTTTAACTAATCCTGCACTACTTACTTCCTGCACATATTGCTTACGACTCGAAACGTGGCTGTGCCAGATGATTGATGTTGAAAGCGTAGACTGTGATCACTTCCTGGTCTTGGGTAAACATCCGTCTGCGCACGCATCACCGAAGGTGGCGTCAACCACCTCTGATTATTAGGCGTGTGGTTTTGCCAGCTTCGACTTATTTGTATGGTTTTTATTGCTCGACTTATTTGTATCCTATGAATTGTGTGTTTTCCTTTGTTTCTCAGAGGGTGTAGGTATTACCCTTCTGTTTCTTTTTTGTAGTACTGTTGTAGTGATGGTGTTTGTGTTAAACACGATAGTTTTCATCACTAATATCGGTCACTTCGCCATTCAGAACACGTGGCCTCGATGTATTCGTAGTTGCTTTTTTTTGGCTCATGCTTATTTGTTATACTATTATCGTATATTAAGCCTTAATTCTGGTCTCCAGTTTTTGTCAGTATTTGTGAGACGTTTGTTCTCAATTATGCTGTTTCCCTGTGTGTTTGCTAGGGGTTGCTGCTATGTTGCAGTTTCTATACGGCACCCGCTGAATAGTTTGTAAGGCGGGGTATCTCATAAGTGCCTTCATTCATACTGTTTGAATTGCACTTTTCCGTGTTTTTTCACATGAATGAATGTGCTTGTTGCGCTTTCTTGATATATCATCTTAACACCTTTTTTTCCGTCTATGAAGCGCTAGGTCCAACACTGACGTCGCCTATGGCAAGCACCCAGAAACTGAGATACTTGCCACACCACTGATGTCCACTAACTCTAGGGCGTCTGGCGCTCCGTCTCCATTCTCCAGGTTGCTGTTTTCAGAGTTTCCATGGCAGGCGTCATACTCCTGACGCCTAAGACCCATGCGCCGCACACTTAGCAGTCACTGGATGTTTCGACATCCATTCCACACTTGACCTAGTTAGCAGGGACTGCAGCGCCTGTACGGTGCATCTACCACATTGACTACGACCTCGGCGTTCGGCAGTTGGTGTCAGCGTCTCCGTCGCCATACCTACCTGTTCCAGCTTCATTCCTGACAACAGCAAATGTATGGTCTACCTGATCCAGCGCCTGTACGGTGCCTGTAAACCATACTTACATACTTACTGGTGAAAAGTCTCATATCGACAAGGGAGGATATGAACGTAGCTTCGTCCCCTTCAAGGGTGACGGAAGCAGGGGCAAATGAAGCTCAAGATCCACACGACTGGACGCTCCCTCTTCCAGAAGCCCTTGTATTATCCAAACACCTGTACATTGGTGACTACTGCATTTCCGACGTAATGGGTTATTTCTTGGGGGTCCATACGTCACGACATCTGGAAACGTGTTCCGGCTCCTCATAGCTCTGCTTCAACGATGTGCCTGGTTCCGAGGTTTACTTCGACCGGGTGTACCTGCGCTTTTACTTCAAAAGCTCCATGGTTATTAACTCATATCATAATGCAGCAACAGTGATAATTTGGTGATTTCACGTGTGCTGTCCACCATATGGCGTAATTTGCATACGGACAGCAGCCCGGTTTTCACCATACGTCTTTATACTAGCTGGGCTAATTAGCTGGGTTGACTTGTCAACCGGGACGTTTCGGACCTTGTACCATCACACACACTGACGTACATTTGAAGCCTCTTTCAAACAGACAAGATCCTCATTCGGAATCCGGCAGGTACAGGTTTTAGACCCTCATCCCATGTGTGCTGTTCGGACCGATGTCCACCCGTGAGATGACAGACGGACATTCGTCAACGTGTCGGTCTCCTGCCTCACTTACCTCAGTATTTTTTTTTTGTCCTGTGGTGGACTCGCCCATAGATGTCCTAGCTGCAGTCCCCTTGACGGAGCGAGTTCCGAACTACCTACGTTTAGGTCGGCGCCTCCATGCAGAATTGAGGCGCCCCCTGACTATATCTGATAATCTCAGGGTTTCGGTCATGAGATCAATCAGCAGTTCGGAGCTCTAGGCAGTGTTCCTCGCTATCCATCACTGGGCGCGCATTATCTCCCGTGCAACCTGGTTGTTGTGTGGTTTAACAAGAGTTTGACCGGGTTACTGTTTTCAGAAGGTCTGTCTGTTCTCCAGTAATAGCCAACACTCGTGTCTGTCTGAGAACTCAGATATTCCTGGGTGCAGGTACATCTTAGTGGACACTATATCGGGATCTGACAGAGTCGCTTTCACAGACTGAATGCTACACAAAGAGATACCGGTTTATGTGTCTCTGTCTCCGGATGGTCAGCCTGGTCAGCGGATGGCTTAAGCCTTTCCTGGGGGAGCTACATGCAAAATACGTGTCCTCCGGTCTTGCTTCCAAATGTTTTCATCCCAATCAAGAATTAACAACTTGACTTCGACGATATTTAGTCGGTCCCAGCTGACCAACCAGAGTATGGTTTCCGATTTGAAGCAGTCTAGTGTCAAGTGCCCCTCTTCAACTAGCCAGATGGGGAAACATCCTATAGTGCATCCTCATCCCACGCCAGAAGGCGTTTCAGGAGGGACATGGCTGCCACTTCTGTTAGTGGCCATTCGTTCTAACAGTCCCCATTGACAGAAGTTACCGTCCATGCTTCGTTTCTTGAGCACTTGTGTACCCAAGCTACAGTTTTGACCACCCGCCCAGGACTCTCAACATGGTCCTGGACCGCCTACGTGTTGTGTTTTACAAGTCACTCACGAACACTTCCCTTGCAGACTTGCACAGCGATAGCGACAAGGGTCATGCGTTTGGTGCGCTTGGTGTTAATTGGATCCAGTTTGAACGACGCAGTCATGGTTCTGTACCTCTGGGTATTTTATGGGGATTTCATCACTACACACCTGTTGCCAGCTAGGGCGAAATGATCGACGGTTCTCTATTTCGCCCTTATCGTCTGTTGTTGGCGTGAAGACGTTCCTGTGTTCAGCTGGTGTACTCAGTTTGTACATTAAGCGAACTCAAGCCGTCAGTGTCATGTAAGCAAAACACCGAGTGTTTTGTGGATACGGACTTCCTTTATTCATGCGTAGAATGCGGCTGGTCTGGTTTGCCCTACATCTACGCCAACCTCCAGCACACTAGCCTCTATAATGGCGCTTCACTGTAACTGTACAGTAGCGCTTCACTGTAACTATTCAGTGGCATTGATAATGCAAGAGTGTTTCTAGAAGTCGGACACAGTCTTCGCCAATCAGTATCCACACCATATGTGTCCAACGCTTCGGACCATTGGTGCCAGACCAGCACCTCAACAATCCCCCGAAGGATACCACATCCTACATTGTTGTTCGCAATGAAGCATGACGATGTCGTGTGGGGGATGAGTTGTTTTGAGCAAAACAACTGGGTATGTCAGTTAAGGGGTAACACTTGGATAGACTCAGGTCCATGCTTCTTACTGCATTCCCTAAAGCTAATAACGCTTTAAAAATCGTGTGGCCTTTTCCATTTAAGCGTACATGGCTTATTTACCTCTGAGATGTAATCCCTCTCTGTCGACCAGTCTTCCAGATTCCACGAAGGTGTCTTCATTCATGATATTTCTTCCCACGAGGCATGATGTCGCCGTGTGGGAAAAGAGTTGTTCCGAGGGAAACAACTGGGTGTCAGTTAAGGAGCAACACTTCGAAAAACTCAAGTCAATGTTTTTTACTGCATTTCCCTAAAGCTAATCTCGCTTTAAAAATCGCGTGGTCTTTTCCATTTAAGCCTACATGTCTTATATGCGAATTACCACTGAGAGATAGTCACTGTCTGTTGACTATTCTGCCAGGTGCAACGAAGATACCTTCCACAATGTTTTTTTCTTCCCATGAAGCACGCCGACGACGTATGGGAAAAGAGTTGTTCCAGGAGAACAACTGGGTGTGCCAGTTAAGGAGTAACGCTTGGGTTAACCCGAGTCACTGCTTTTTACAATATTTCCCTAAAGCTAATAATGCTTTAAAAATCTTCTGGTATATTCCATTTAAGACTACGTGTCTTATATGCGTATTACCACTGCCTGATCGTCACTCGCTGTCTGTGCAATAAGTGCAGGAAGTAAGTAGTGCAGGATAAGTATACAAATATAAAAAATATTTAGATTTTACTAATATTTAGCTAGATAAATGAATTTGCATTCGTCTGTAATTATCTTTTGTATTCGTACATATACTGAGATAATCAAAGCTTTAGAAGGCCTATAAACGTGTATTTGTTACTTGTCATTAAGGAAATTGTCCCAGCCATGAGGAAGGAAGGTGAAGGCATGGTCATCTTCCTGCGTAGATCTTTTGTTTCCCTGGAGCTAAAAGAGTTTGCGATTTCAGATGAAGATGCAGCCAAATGACCAGCAGGGGTTTAAGGAAATTGCTGACGAGATCAAGAACTTTGAGGGCAACCAGAACAAACACCTGGTCAAATACTACGGGGTGGAGGTGCACAAGGTATGTTGTACATGGGTACTGTGGTTTCCAAAGTTAGATGCTGGACACCAGAACCCATTGCTTCTGAACTGACTGGAAAATGCTCGTGTATCCTGTAAGAGTAGACTTGAAACCGCCATGCCTCCTGTATGTGCTGACTCAAGTCAAAAGATATCCTGTGTGCCGCATATTGTAGGATGAGATTCCAGTGAGACACTGTATTACCATGTGCTGGTGTGTTGCAACCCAGAATATACGAGAATACTCGAGAGTCGAGAGAGACTATGTGAGCATATCCTGGTATTTTTTCAGGATGAGATGCTGATCTTCATGGAGTACTGCGACTGCGACACTGTGGAGGAGGCAGCGAAGATCGGCCTCCCTGAACACATCATCAGGAAATACACCAAGCAGATCCTTATCGCCATCAATCATCTCCATGAAAACGGCATCGTGCACCGAGACATCAAAGGTAACTCCTTGTCATCTCTGTGCAGGAGGGGACTGTGGCATATGATGGACCCCTTACCATTTCTACTGCAGGAGCACGAGTGTGAATTATGATGACTAGCTGATTCATTGTATACTCTCCAGGAAGTTGAGAATGAAAACTGAGTGCACATTGATCCCCTTACTGGGGTTATAATGGTTTATAGTGCAATGACTTTGTAATATAACTGTTGAGCTTCTAGCTATCACAATTATATACTCCCCAGGAAGTTGAGAATGTAAATCAGTGCACACTGATCCACTCACCAGGGTAACAGTGTAGTGCTTTGAAGATTCACATGAGTCTACATGCTTGTGACAACCTGTTTCTTGTGTTTTTGTTTCAGGGGCAAATATCTTCTTGACATCAAACGGAACTGTGAAGGTTGGTGACTTTGGATGTTCGGTGAAGCTGAAGAACCACACCACCATGTTTGGTGAAATAAACAGCCTGGCAGGGACAATGGGTAAGCGAGAATACTACCCACATTGCACCTTTTAATATATTAGTCCAGGAGGAGGCAGCTGAAAAATTTCAAATCGTAGCCTCCCCAGTACTGATTTTGTTTGACACTATTTTCAGTTAGTATGATGTCTTGGGCTCATGAAAAGGCTCATGAAAAGGCCTGTAATACTCTCAGATTGTGGTATCAGGTTTTTTTTACAGGCCATTATATGTGGTGGGGGTCTGCGAGCATTTTCGTCACATTTGGTTTGCTGCCCGACAACACCTCAAAGTTAATCATTAATAGTTTTACTACTATCAATCTGATCACTTTCATTTTGACTTCTGTGTACTGCTAAAGGATGTAGAAATTATTTGACATAATTTTGTTAGCAATGTTGAAAACAACATTAGTTGTGACAAATACACCCAGACACACCCAAACATTGAGTTGTGACAGACCTGCAGAAACAGACACACAGACACACCCAAACACTGAGAAGCAGGCACAGACCTGCAGAAACAGACACACAGACACACCCAAACACTGAGAAGCAGGCACAGACCTGCAGAAACAGACACACAGACACACCCAAACACTGAGAAGCAGGCACAGACCTGCAGAAACAGACACACAGACACACCCAAACACTGAGAAGCAGGAAACACAGACCTCAGCAGACAGACCTGCAGACACACACAGACACACAAACACTGAGAAGCAGGCACAGACCTGCAGAAACAGACACACAGCACACCCAACAGAAGCACACAGAGACAGACAAACACATGTGTTACAGCGAGGTTTGTAGCACTGACTTATGTTTCAGCATATATGGCCCCGGAGGTGATCACCCAGAATGACAAGGAAGGCAGCGGTCGTGCCGCAGATATATGGAGTCTGGGCTGTGTGGTCATTGAGATGGCAACCGGGAAGGTGAGAGCTTCTTACTAGGGTTCCTTTCTTTCCTGAATATGCAAGCTTTATTTTGGTTACTTTACACAGAGATCAGTTGAAGAACATTGTCAAAAAGTATTATTATTTTGTTTATTATTACTGGATATTTATATAGCACACATATCCACGCACTAGTGCATGCTCAAGGAGCTGGTATTTTTTCACTGGAATTTGTATAGTCAGTGATAATGTGTGACGACTAACCCAAATCTTATATTTCGTTCTAAATATTATACCAAGAGATATTGTAATAGGTTCTTGCTTTGGCATGTAAGTGAAGCTTTTTTCTTTTAATGTTGTGTGTCTGTCAAAGACAAGACTGATCAATATGAAAGATGTACATGTCTAAGAACAAATTATGTGTCTGTCCTGAACTATTTTCTGATGTCCCCTGCTGTGATATTGCTGGAATGTTTCTACAAGCGGTGTAAAACGAAACTCTCTCACTCACTGTCCTGAAATAACGAACTCTCCTTGGAAGTTGGAAATGTGTTCCGTCTGGCTGCATGACTTCCTGTATTCTGTAACGAGATCTGTGTGTTGCTAGCGCCCGTGGCACGACGCTGAGAACAACTACCAGATCATGTTCAAGGTGGGGATGGGAGGGACACCGGCTGTCCCCGAGAACCTTAGTGCTGAGGGCAAGGATTTCCTGGCGAACTGCTTCCAGCATGACCCTCAAGCAAGGTGGACAGCCAGCAGACTGCAGGATCATCCCTTCTCCAAGGTAGGCATATACTCTAGACAGTCAACATTCCATCCAGTTCTAAACACTTTGACTGATTTTATCTTTCCTGGTACAATTCTGGATCAATATAGTCTGTCAATGTATCGTGGAGCACAGTGGTGTAGTGGTTAGCATGCTGGCCTCTCACGCCAAAGGCCCGGGTTCGAATCCCGGTGGAGACACCAAAATTTGTGACCTGGGTCTCATACTGTGTTGTGTCCCTGGGCACGGCACTTCGTCCACATTGCACTCAGTCCACCCAGCTGTTTAAAATGGGTACCTGAAAAGCGGATGTACGGACCTATACGGTCGCGCTTAGCGCTTAGTAGCAGCTTTGAAAGTACAATTCTGTCAGGGTAATAATGTAACGCCAGAGAACAGCATCACGTTGGATTCTAGGCGAAAAATTAGCATTAGCATTTATTATTATTATTATTATTATTATTATTATTATCAAGTAGTCTGCTAGTTGTTCCTCAAGCAAATGGACAGCTAGCAGACTACAAGACCACCCAGTCTCTGAAGTAGGCATTTACTCTGGACAGTCAACTGTACAGCTGCAAACATTCCTACAGATTCTATCTGTCCCTTTACAAGCATCGGTATAAGTCTGCATCAAGTGAGCTTTGCTCTAATGATACTGAAGTGGTTGTAAAGGTTTTGTCCCATGATGAGAATTGAGCACGGACCTCATCCCAGATGCTTACTTTGTACTCGTGATCAAAGTGCTTATGCCGTCAGTGCTGACAAGGTACAGATGTCATCTGTAGGATGACTCCATGTTTTGGTACAATATGATTGTGTACTGGTTGTGACAGTGTATTGTGTAGCAAACGTGTTAACAAGAGTGTACCATATAAAAAGTAAAAAGTGAGTCTGTATGTACTGTTGGTACCACCCTGGCTATTGTGGTGTGTCATTCTACCCAGACGGTTGAGATAAATATCTTGGACACAGTGGTTACAACATGTGAAATATCTCTCTGCATTTTGCCAATGGTCAGTACTGATCCATCAGTTAAAGCTGTATGACATCATCCATTGCATTGACGTCTAAACTGGAGCCTTCACTATCACCACCATCATCATCATCATCATCATCATCATCATCATCATCATCATCATCATCATCATCATCATCATCCAATTCAAACTCTACCTTTTGCTCTTTTCAGGTTTACGAAGAAGCTGATGGCGAAAGTTGATGATGGTGTACTACTAGGCGGTGAAGATATACCCTGTTACCATGGTTACAGCTAAATTCTGTGATTGCTGTCTGGCAGCTACATGTTGTATATTTCTTGATCTGCTCCAACATGGCCGACGCTGCAGGGGATACACAATAGGGCACCAGTGACTCTTACATCCGATTTCTACATTATGAATTACATTTTATAACACTGATTTGTCTCAGGCCATGTGATGATTGAAAAGATGCAGGGAAAAATGTCTTGGAAGCAATCAGGCAGAATAAAAGTTGAATTGTCTCGTATCATTAAGATCGACAGTATTTTGCAGGCGTTAATATTAGTACCCTGCTTGATGCATGTTTGGTGTATTTTATATTAATTACTTCGAAGTTTTGTCATGTTAACACTATTCATTCAGGAAACAGTGAATGCTGTAATGTTTGGTACGCTATTTAATCTGAAGCAATATGGGGAGTAGTATTCAGCATGAACAGTTTAACAGTATGACTTTGCTTACTGAGTTGACATGCTTCTTTGATGATGATATACTGAGGGAAAAAAATAAGGGATCACATGAAAGCACCATTGTTTCTTATTTTTTTCCAAGGCTTTCTTCACAAACTTTGAATCACACAGCTCGTGAAGAAACCTGGAAAAACATAAAGGAACACTTGTGCTTTCATGTGATCCCGTATTTTTTTCCCTCAGTATATATTGGTCAACAATGAGAAGTTTATTGAATATTGTTGAAAAAAGTCACCACCATACATGAATTTCAAGGGTTCTTATGGGAAATACGGTGGTGGGGTAGCCATCATGCTGAAGACCCGGGTTCAATTCCTACATTGGGATAATGTGTGAAGCCTATTTTTCGTAATATTGCTGGAATATTGCTAAAAGTGACGTAAAACCATACTCACTCACTTACACAAAATATGAGGGTTAGTTACTCTAATGTGTAGGTTCTGTAAACAGGGATTGAAGCAAGCTAGTGTCTTACAGTTTTACTAACGTTAAAGATATCCTAAGGGTTGTTCAAATTTTGAACATTTTGGTGATGTAGGATTTCATAATTACTATCTACTATGATTACAAGATGTTTGCTTTTCTTTTCAAATGGCTAAAATTATGGGACATATTTTCTAGGTTGTTTGGAAGAGATTGTATATCCAGATATTGGAATGAGTCAGTTTTGCCCATGTGAAATGACAGCTTGTATTTTGAAATGTGTCGAGTTGTGATATTTGTCAAGATATGTATTGCCATGCATTTTGCTACTGTTATTGAAGTCCCCCTTCTACCTAAATGGGTGCACTTTTGAGGATGGCTGTTATTTAGATGCAACAGTCTCATGTATTGACATCCTGCACTCTCCATGAGTGTGTTTGCTGTACTATAGGGGATCCATACAGATCGGGGTTAGAATTGATCTTCAGTAACCCATGCTTGTCGTGTAAGAGGCGACTAACGGGATCGAGGGGTCAAGCTCACTGACTGGGTTGACACATGTCATTGTATCCCAATTGCTTAGATTGATGCTCATGCTATTGATCACTGGATTGTCTGGTCCAGACTCGATTATTTACAGACTGCTGCCATATAGCTGGAATATTGCTGAGTGCGGCGTAAAACTAAACTCACTCACTGTACTAGTGGAAGAAGGAAAAGAGGAATCAGCAATATTTATGGGGGTAGTTTTGTCCTGAAGACTAAGAGTGAGTGAGTGAGTTTAGTTTTACGCCGCACTCAGCAATATTCCAGCTATATGGCGACGGTCTGTAAATAATCAAATCTGGACCAGACAATCCAGGGATCAACAGCATGAACATCGATCTACGCAATTGGGATACAATGACATGTGTCAACCCAGTCAGCGAGCCTGACCCCCCGATCCCGTTAGTCGCCTCTTACCACAAGCATGGGTTACTGAAGATCAATTCATACCCAGACCTTCACAGGTCTTGGAGACCAAGAACACAATATGATAATAATATTCCCCCAATATTCTTAGTTCCTAACCTTTTTGTTCAGTATATCCAGCATTGTTTGTGTTACTCTTGGTTGATACTGAAACAGTTACTAGAATTTCTTTCATTTTCTCTTACTTGTTTTACAAAATGTTTGAAACAAATAAGTTTCAACTTTCAAATCAACTCTGTATTAATGTACAAAATACAAGTATTAGCTTGCAGGAAATTGATTTTAGTGTTGGTAGTTGCTGGTTTTCAAACTAGTTTCATCAAATTCTTTCTAACTGAAAAAATAACAATTCATGTTTTAATGGCAGTAACTGGTCGTTCGGGAATGTTTGATGTCTTTGTAGATAAGAATTTTGAGAAAACACATACAACTTAATGAGACTTATAAAATAAATGGTACACATACCAAACGATACTGTTTCAGTTAACTCTGGGGCTTGTAATGCTATTGCTAAATCCTGGAGAAAGGTGTTGAAGTCCAACCAATCCAGGACAGGTACAAGGTTGTGAGGTTACATATGTATTTACCATAGTGTTTGGATTCTGACACTGTGTTAAATGGATGTTAAATGGATGTTGATGAATAATGTAATACACACAAACTTGCATATGTTAATGTTAATGTGGATATTGAAATGTTGGCTTTTTACTGAATATTTTTCAATCTAATGCAGGTTTTCTTTTGATATGTAACTGACATATCTTTTCCCAAAATGAAGTCTTGTTTGAATTTTTGTTCAGTTTTTGGAAAGCATTTAACATTAGCCATTGCTTGATCTTTTTGAATGATGCCATACTGTGATGATGCAGTTTTGTGATGATGTCATTGTTTGAAGATATCATAGTATGATGATACTATAGTTTGGTGATACCATTCATTGATGTCATTACTTTTAAGATGGCACCATTACAACAATGATGCACTAATTTGATGATGCCATTGTTGGATATCATTTCTTGATAATGTCATTGTTGAATGATGCCATTGTTTGATGATGTCATTGTTGGATATCATTTCTTGATAATGCCATTGTTGAATGATGCCATTGTTTGATGATGTCATTGTTGGATATCATTTCTTATAATGTCATTGTTGAATGATGCCATTGTTTGATGATGCCATTGTTGGATATCATTTTTTATAATGTCATTGTTGAATGATGCCATTGTTTGATGATGTCATTGTTGGATATCATTTTTAGATATCATGATAATGTCATTGTTGAATGATGCCATTGTTTAATGATGTCATTGTTGGATATCATTTCTCGATAATGTCATTGTTGAATGATGCCATTGTTGGATATCATTTCTCGATAATGCCATTGTTGAATGATGCCATTGTTTGATGATGTCATTGTTGGATATCATTTCTTGATAATGTCATTGTTGAATGATGCCATTGTTTGATGATGCCATTGTTGGATATCATTTTTTATAATGTCATTGTTGATTGATGCCATTGTTTGATGATGTCATTGTTGGATATCATTTTTGATAATGTCATTGTTGAATGATGCCATTGTTTGATGATGCCATTGTTGGATATCATTTCTCGATAATGTCATTGTTGAATGATGCCATTGTTGGATATCATTTCTCGATAATGTCATTGTTGAATGATGTCATTGTTTGATGATGCCATTGTTGGATATCATTTCTTGATAATGTCATTGTTGAATGATGCCATTGTTTGATGATGTCATTGTTGGATATCATTTCTTGATAATGTCATTGTTGAATGATGCCATTGTTGGATATCATTTCTCGATAATGTCATTGTTGAATGATGCCATTGTTTGATGATGCTATTGTTGGATATCATTTCTTGATAATGTCATTGTTGAATGATGCCATTGTTTGATGATGTCATTGTTGGATATCATTTCTTGATAATGTCATTGTTGATTGATGCCATTGTTTGATGATGCCATTGTTGGATATCATTTCTTGATAATGTCATTGTTGATTGATGCCATTGTTTGATGATATTATTGCTTGATGATGCTGAAGTTTGATGCCACTTCATTTAAAGAGTGACTGTGTCTGTAGCACAGCATATACATACTATACAACAGCAACATACATTGTCACTAACCATTACGCATATCAGATGTACGTGTCATACTGAATATGGTATTACAACCAACTAACTGCTTTAACTCCAATAGTAACCTCCAGACATTAAACATACAATTACATCCACTGATAATATGGTAGTCATGTTCCAATGAAACCTGGATGATAAGTGCTTTCATGGTTTTGGTTGAGTACAATTTGATTAGGCTTTTCGCGAACACCTGGTGTCATCTTTGATTTTCATCACTACTTAGGGTGGTTTGGGTAGTCTAGTGGTTAAAGCGTCCGCTTGTCATGCTGAAACCTGGGTTCGATTCTCAATATGGGTACAATGTGTGATGCCCATATCTGGTGTCCCCTGCCCTGATATTGCTGGAATATTGCTAAAAGTGGCGTAAAAGCAAACTCACTCACTCACTGACTCACTCATCACTGCTTTTATGCCAGGTTATATCAGTTTCGGCAGAGATAGAGAAGATATTATTAGACTTTTAATGAACACCTGGTGTCATCACTAACTACTTGTCCTTTATGCCAGATTGTATCAGTTTCAGCAGATAATTGAGGCTGATTATTCTCTGGTGTTTTGCATTTACACCCTTATATCTCACTATGGGCATATTTGTATATAGTGTAGGCTTCTGACTGATGAAGCCAATATTCAGTCTCAGGGTTAGTAAGCCTGGCCAAGAGGTGATAAGTGCACCCATTTAGTTTGAGTCAGGATTTCACTGGTCGCTATGTTGTACATACTGCAGTGCTGACTGACAAACAACCACGTCTTTCACCAGATTGTTGTTATGAGAGGAGATATTTTTAGATAATCATTGTATGAGAGACTGAGTTAAGATCTGTGGGAGATGAGATTATGTAAGAAAACATGTACATTACAATAAATAGACTAACTTTGCTATTGCTGTGACTTCTGTAGATTGGTATTAGCTTTCATATCATGTGCTGCATATTTGTACCATATATTATTGATGGATTAATATCTTCAGGTGTTAATAATATGTTCAAATTTCTCGTCCCAAACATATTCATTTGAATTTTAACGTTAATAACCTGAATAGCTTCTTATGAGAATATATATATCTATCTGAATGTTGACTAATGTCTGCATCATTTATTCAAAAATGTTTTAATGGATACCCAGTTTTGTTTCATTCAAAAACGTGCTCTACAAGCACCTGTAAAATCACTTGCATGATTCTAATATCAATGTTCAGCAAGTATTTGGTTCTGTCTGCAAACTGTGTTTGATTTTATAGGGATAAAATGATGTGCTTTAGATGAACATTTTAATGTAGATAATATTTTTATATCAGGGGATTGTGTCAAAAGTTTGTTTTAGTTTTAGGAAATTATTTTATGCTCTCATATTGTGCTCAATTGTTTAAGTCAATGATGGAGTCACTTTTCCTTGTCACAGATAAGCTGATCTGTTTGAGGATGGGATAAAGATGTGAAACCTTTTAAGTAGTTTGGACTTCTTAATTTTCAAAATAATATGTTGTTAGTAAGATATGCATCCATTTATTTTTATGTAGTCAAATATTCTTGGATCTTACTGAGAAAATGGCTTTGCATAGGCAATCAATATATTCATGAGAATTTTCTGCAGATCGATGGAATTCTGCAGATATCTTTATGTGAAAGGGCAACTTTGTTATAGGTACAGAATATACAGTTAAATGATATAGTTCTGCCAAGATAGCAAAACATTTTATTTTTTTAAACATTCTTACCCCTGAATTTAGTGATCACATATTTTTAGTTCTTCCCCTGTAATGGTTCGGTATACCAGAATCCACAAAACAAAATGCAAATGTGATGTATGACTTCATGTGCTTTAGGGAGAAATAATGTACTTTCAAAAACACTGTTTATTGGAGGTTTTCCAGAAATGCAGTAGATAGGATCACAAATATTGATGCAAAGTAAACGTTTACGATTGGTGTATAAGCTTACTTATGATCAAAGAGAAATTTGTTTGTATTTTGAATTCTTATGTGTATGTCAATATACAGTTAAACCTCAATGTCAGTCACGTTATGACGCCAAATATTCACTCATTATATTTCATGCATAGGTTTCAGCTAAGCAATTAAATACGATTGTTGCCATGGTTACAAATTATAGAATGCAATTATTCTCCTGCAAATAGTCATACATTTGTGCTCAAATCATGTACATAGCTCTCGTTTAGAGATGTACATATATGGAACAGAGCTCCTGGAGCTGGTTGTATATTTATTCCTCAAAGAAGGCGTGTCATGAATGTATTTTCACTGCAATCTGTGATCAATTTCAGTCTGACCCGGGAGCTGTCTGTGATTGCTGTGAACAGGGCCTGTGTATACAGGGCACCCTCTCACAGGAGGTCCATCTTGTCCACCAATACAATTGT